CTATATTAAGATTAAAAGGGTGGCTAGGGAGATGAGGGAGATTTTTAATGAATATTTCTCCTCAGAGTTTACTGAGTAGTAAACAAATGGGGAAGTTTTGGACCAATACATATTGCCAGAGAGGTGTTTGCAGCCTTAATGCGCATTAAAGTGGATAAATCGCCTAAGCCTGTTCAAGTCCGTCCTCAGACAGCGTGGGAGGCTAGGGAAGAAATTGCACAGGACAGTGCAGAGACTTTTGCTTCATCTTTAGCCACTGGTGAAGTTCCAGAAGACTGGAGAGTGGCTAATGTTGTTCCTTTGTTTAAGAAAGATAGCAAAGACAAGCCAGGGAACTACAAGCCAGTGAGCATGACATCAGTGGTAGGCAAGTTATTGCAGAAGATACTGAGGGACTGATTAGGGATAGCTCAGCACACCACTAGTCACATCTGCACACAGGAAGTCATGTCTGACAAATATTTTAGAGTTTTTTGAAGAGGTAACCAAGAGGATAGATGAGTGTAGGGCAGTGGATATTGTCCATATGGACTTGAGTAAGGCCTTTGACATGGTCCCGCACGACAGGCTAGTCATGAAGGTTAGGTCGCATTGGATCCAGGGAACGCTAGCTAACTGGATTCAAAATTGACTCGAAGGTAGGAAGCAGAGAGTGATGGCTTACGGCTGTTTCTCAGACTGGAGGCCTGTGACTAGTGGTGTGCCAAGGGTCGGTGTTGGGACCTTTGCGATTTGTTATTTACATAAATGATCTGAATGTGAATGTACAAGGCATGATTAGTAAGTTTGCAGATGATACAAAATTAGGAGGTATCGTTGACTGCAAAGAAGGATATCAAAAATTACAGTGGGAACTTGATCAGATGGGAAGTGGGCTGAGGATTAGGAAATGCAATTCAATACTGATAAGTGTGAGGTGTTGCACTTTGGAAAGTCAAACCAAAGTAGGACTTATGCAGTAAATGGTAAGGTCCTGAGGAGGGACCTAGGAGTACAAACACAGTTTGTTGAAAGCAGCGTCACATGTACATAAGGTGGTGAAGGCAGCATTTAGCATGCTCGTCTTCTTTGGTCGAGGCACTGAGTATAGGAGTTGGGATGTTATGTTACAGTTGTATAAGTCGTTGATGAGGCCGCACTTGGAGTATTGTGTACAGTTTTGGTCACCCTGTTATAGGAAAGATATAGTTAAACTGGAAAGTGAGCAAAGAAGATTTACGAGGATGTTGCCAGGACTAGTAGGACTGAGTTATAGGGAGAGGTTGGCCAGCACAGGACTTTATTCCTTGGAATGTAGGAGAATGAGGGGTGACCTTACTGAGGTGTATAAAATCACGAGGGGCATAGATAGGCTGAATGCGTACAGTTTTTTTCCCAGGAATGGAGATTTGAAAACTAGAGGGCACAGGTTTAAGGTGAGAGGGGAAAGATTTAAGGAGGACTTGAGGGGCAACTTCTTCATTCTGACAGTGTTGCATATATGGAATGGGCTGCCAGAGAAAGTGGCTGAGGCAGGCACAATGGCTGCATTTAAAAAACACATTTGGACAGGTACATGGGTGGGAAGGGTTTAGAGGGATATGGGCCAAATGCGGGCAATTGGAACTAGCTGAGTGGGCATCATGGTCAGCATGGACCAATTTGAGCCGAAGGGCCTGTTTCCATGCTGTATGACTCTATGACTCTAAATATTTTTCATGCAACAAGTGTGAGATCCAGAACACACAGTCCACAAGAGTGGAGGAAACAAGAAACTATTAATGATTTTAAAAGGCAATTAGACTGAACTTGGAGAAGATGATCGCACAAGGCCATGTGGATCAAGTGAAGGAATGGGACTGACTTGATTGTTCCATGTGGAGCATGAACGTCCTCCTTGGGTTGTATATGACTGAGTGATGGAGCTGGATTCAGGGTCAACATGGTGTTTCAACTCAACTGTACCAAACAGTTCATCCAAATATTTCCAAATCCTAAATGCCGATCACTCCAGATACCTTTATCTTTTTTAAAATCCAATGCATCTTCCTTGTCCGTCACAATCTCTTTCATGTTTATTATGCTCGAGTGGTGCAACTGCCTTAGTATCTTAATCTCTCGGATAGCAGTTATAGGGAAGCCCTCCTTTTCATTATCCAAGCGAACTTTTTTTAAAGCAACCATGTCACCTAAAAACAAATGTACAATTAGAAATATAATCTAGAACTGTTCGGCACATCCAAAGGATCAAAATTATCTTCTGATAAATTTAGAATTGGTGAGCAAATATCCAACATGTGCAAAGACTATTTTTAATTCAATATTGCCCCATAAAACAAAACCGTTTTCAAAGATTTATTTCATTTTCTTTTGTTCAAGTTGGTTCTTTTCCTCATTAAAAGTACGTGAAAAGAAAACGTAACGTATCTAGAGTAGAGTTATGGTCCGAGTCTTAAACCTGAAACCTGTAAACTTCAATTCCATGATGGGGAAATGTAAAGTTGGATCTAGTATATTTGCTAATTTGTAGGCTGGACCCAGATAAAATCACAATATAATCTGCCCAATTGATGTGAATACCCGACTGGTCCACCAGTTTTTGGGAAGGCAATCTGGTGCGATCACCAAAGCAGTTTTGCATCAGGAGGGTTGATGGAACGTTGGACCTTGTTGTGTGGGGTTTGGAATATAAGGGTAGGGAAGTACTGCAACTGCACAAGATACTGGTGAGATCACATCTCGAGACTGCGAGTACTGCCCTTTTGGTCCCTTTATTTAAGGGGAGATATTGTTTCATTGGAGGAGGCAGTTTAGAGAAGGTTCACTAGAACGATAAAAACTGCAAGAATTGCGGGTGCTGGAAATCAGATGAAAACAGAAACTGCTGGAAAAATTCAGCAGCCCTGGCAGCATCTGTGGAGAGAAATCAGACTTAAAGTTTCGGGTCCAGTGACCCTTCTTCATATCACTGGATCTGAAACGTTAACTCTGATTTCTGTCCACAGATGCTGCCAGACCTGCTGAGCTTTTCCAGCAATTTCTGTTTTTGATCACTAGAATTATGCCCACATTAGAGGGATTGTTTTAAGGTTAGAAGTTATATAGCTTGGAACCCTACTCTTAAGGGTAAATGCTGAGAAGACGTTTCATCTCATAGGAAAGTCTAGGACTAGAGCATATAATCTCAGAAAAAAGGGGTGCCAATTTAAGACTGAGATGCAGAAGCATTTGTTCTGTGGGTTGAGTATTAGAAATTGTTCCCGCAGCTCTCTATGGCAAGCTAAGTCCTTGCGTGTATTTAAGGATAAGATAGATTCTTATCAGTAGGGGAATGAAAAGGTTATGAAGGGCACGAAAGTGGACATAAGGAATGCTGGATCAGCCCCAATCCAACTGAAAGGCAAGCGAGGGCTCGACGGGCCGAATGGCCTTGCCCTGTTCCAATTTCTTACAGTCTTATGGTCTCTCAAGTCTTGTAATACATGACTGATGTTCAATTACCTCAGCCCTAGGAAGGATAAATAGTAAATGATGTCATTGCTAGTTGCATCAACAGTCTAAAAACAAATATTTTAAAAAAATCTATTAATTCTATCAGTTTGGTGCATCTACATGTCAAGATGCCAAAGAATAAAACTGCACACTTAATTGTTTCACCCTACCAAGATCAATGGAATAAGCTTTTGCTGTTGCAGTAACATTCACACTGGAGTCAGGTGAAGGAATAAAGTCCATTCCAGGCAGAGCCCCAGCTATCGGATGCTATAAATATGTCTAAATACTGGATTATATACACCTTTGCATGGAGTGAGCAAAGACTTAGTGGTACAAATTCCACCTGAGCCAGAGGACGTAGAAACAAACTGGATCAGCCAAACACATTTTGTTCCAGTTACATAAAGGATATCAACATATTTTCACCAAGTGTCAGTAATGATCACCTTGAAACGATCATCAATTTCCATTAAAATCCATCTGGTTCACTAATGTCCTTTAGGGAAGGAAATCTGCTGTCTTCATTTCGTCTGAACTACATGTAATTCAGATAAAGCAATGTGGTTGACTCTTAACTGCCCTCTGAAATGCTCCAGCAAGGCATTCAGTTCAAGGGCAATTCATGATGGGTAACAAATGTTGGTTTTGCAAGTGCACCCAGCATTCTATGAAAAAATAAAATTCTGTAGAAAAAGACTGAATTAATTTTTAAACATTATACAAAAACAAGAGAAATACAAAAATCTAAAATATCAGATATTGGAGGATGTGAAACAGAACCACTCTTGTCTGCCCCTCACTGAAAAATACTTGCAACCTTAGCTCATTCAGGTCTAAACAAAAATGCAAAACACTTGCACAGGGAAAATGCACAACTAATGCAGTAAACGTAAAAGTCACACCTACTGGATTCTTCCTTCAAAGTTCTTTCAACTGTAAAACAGTTTAAGTTAATACCATAGCAAATGCTAAGTCTTGAACAGGGCCTGTCTTTTAATCTGTCATTTTTACAATATTTGCCTGCTGCAAGTGGAATTGGTAAAGGCCTCAGGATAATGTTGCATGCTGCCCTTCTGACTATGGAAAGGGTGACTCAAATACAAGAATGATCAAGGAAGGAGACAACTGTAGGTATCAATGGAGAGAATAACAAAATTATCCCTATTTCAAATTAACACTCTTCATAAAACTCAATTTAAACTTTCACTGAATAAAACATGCAAGGAATATAATTTTACCAGCATCTTTGTCCTTAGCTTTGTAGACTTGTCCATAAGTTCCTTCACCTATTATTCCAATAATATCAAACTTGTCGACGCAGCGTTTACCCCAGTCAATTTCTGCTATTACAGTCTCACCATGCCGAGGGCCACAGATTCTAAAAATAAAACATTTCAGTTACTAACCTCAACATAAAGCTTAAACAGAATCAGGGTGAACAGTAATGATGCAATTCGGTTAAATACAATTAGCTGATTGACACAGACCATCACTTAAATAACTCAACTGGTTACTTGATACTATTCAGATCTCCAAAGGGTCTTGTGCCTTCCAAGAAACTTAGCAACATATTCAACACCCCCGGGTCACAGGAGATGCAACCATATTGATGAAGCCTCTCACACATTGTCATTCTCCAAAGGCTTTACCTCCCTGTCCAAGCAAAGCTTCTTTCAAACCACTGCCATTTTAAAAAGTTGAAAGAAAATCACTCTTTTCATATTTCCCTTTCTTGGGTCTTCTTTGCAATTGGCTGAGAATGAGAGGTAGCAACATAAGGCTGACTGGAGAGGACCACCATTTCTGAGGCATAATGGGAAGAGATGCAAATAATGATATCTGGGGTGGGTCTAAGAGTGTCTTCAGTTGGAGAAAAAGAGGAAGTCGTCAAGCTCAGCAGCCTGGGTTTATCCAGGAAGGTAGGCCTCCCACATCCAATACACAGATGAAAAGCATTTGATTGTCGAAAAATAAAAAAAAATAAGAAACAGCTGATCTTCCAGAAAGTTTGTTTTTCACACAAGCTCCCGCAACCTTGTGTTCAACAGTACCATTTTTGTCAGAAGTACACTGAAATAGCTTGAAACAACACTACTCTCCTCCCACAGTACGGTGGATTCTTCATATAACTTGACTGGAAGTGGCAGCACATCAATCTAATATACCCTTAAGAACAGTGATGGTGGGTGCTCATTTCCTTTCTTATCAGCAGATCCAATAAGTAGGCATAATCAAAAGGCAGAGTTCCACTGACCAGGTGAGACGAGAAAGTCAGTAACATTTCGGCATGCACCTGGAAGCCTCAGCTCTAAACAATACGTTATCGAGCCAAAAGGAATCAGGTACGCATTCAGTACTTATAACACCAAGTTTGTTTTGATTATTAACATTTAGATATCATTCAAGGCATTCCATGATATTCACCAATATAACCGAAGTATCTAATCATATTAATGCTGAACATCATCTGCTAGATCAGATGAATAACTGCTCATTGCTTAGATGCAACATTCTGAACTTAAATGGCTCCAATGCTGAAATGCCAAATTATTGCCTCAAAAGCTGTGTTCTACTTATGTTAAAACTACAGCCTAATTGTCTAAGGAAAAATATAATTCCAGGGAATTATAAACCTTTTTACCAAAGAGAACAATGGAAAGAAGTTAACTTAAAAAGGAGACATGGCTCTGCAATAGCAAATGAATATGCTCACAAGTATTGATATCGAAGGAAACAACTGAAATATACTGGAAAAATGTGGAAATTATGAGCAAGTTGCACAATCAAAAGTGGAAAGACATTAGGGAGAGTTCATGGAATTCTGAGCAATTAAATTCCCAGATAATTAAGACAGATATAAGAAAGCAGATAGAAGAGACAACTTAAAGCAAAACAACTTGAAGAAAGAAATCGCACCATTGAAGCTGTTCATTCAATTTGTTTGATATAATGTTTAAGTAATAGTGAATCAGAAAGGGCATTAAATCTGAAAATACAAACGTGCATCAGAGCTTAGACTGTACCACATTATATTCTTATTTTTACTGGATTCCTGATTCTACTATCATGGTAGTTTAGCATCTAATTGTGAAGGAAATCAGGAGAGTCATCAGAAGCTTCCTAAAAGCAAAACTTTCACAGCTCAGAGGATAGAAGGCACGAAGAAAGACTGGGGAACATGAAGTGCTGAGTAACAAATGCAGATGTGCCCAGATTCCATGAATGTAATAAGAAGTTGACATACATGGACACAAGCATGAAAACAATCAAGGATGCCAAATAAGTTAATAGATTTGTTCCAGTTAAAATGTTCTCAAGAAACAAGCCACTTTTGAAAAGCAGAGGCAGACCTAGGTATAGAGCAAGCCCTATATGACCTGATGTAAACACTTTTATCATCTCACCTGTAACATATTAGAACTACTTTACCACTTCAGAAGCAAAATTATTTGTTTTAGGCCAAAGCATCGTTCAGAGATTCCAAAAATATACCTTGCCAGATATGAATTCATGTATTATGGGTGTTCTTAGCCAATATTGATATTTGAAGTGAATCCAGCAGATGTGTCATTGAGAGAACAATTATAAATATCTGCGCATTTTGTTCATGGACAAACTTCACACTTGCACATCTTATCAATTTATTTTGATGACGTCATACAACAAGGTCACAAATATTCTGTGCTCAAGTTTGACTGGATTTTAGTCTTTAGGAAGCTGTCCTGCACACAGATTAGGTTGCATAAATTGCACCATTCAAAACTCCAAATATGTCATGTTGCCCACCTTCATTGAGGATTCCATTGGAAAAAGGGCATGATGAGGTATGAAACATCGTACAGTACTTGCAGTTTACTCCAGTCATCATTCAACAACAGGTTTTGTTAATACAGAGGTCGGACGCTAACCAAGGCGGTCGTGGCTGAATGACTTTCGAATTCACGTTGACAAACTAGGTCTTTTAGCCTTTGGCTTCACTTCTTTTTCTTCTTTTGTGAGATGTCTGATGAGCAAGGTATCTCTAACTGCAATTGATGTGATAATGAGCTACCTTCTTAAATTGCTGTGGTGAACGTGATGCAAGTTCACCCACAGTGCTATTAGCAGGGAAATTCCAGAATTTTGACCCGATCATTGAGAAAGGTCAGCAAGTACTGCATCACACTCCCACTGTGTGCTTTCTGGTTATCAGGGCATAGGACCCCCTGGATACTGCAGCAAGGCCTGGATAACATTCAGGCTTTGGCTGATGGACAGGCTTCTTTTTTATTCACTTGTGGGGTCTGGGTGTTGCTGGCTGGCCAGCATTTATTGACCATCCCTAACTGCCATTGAGAAGGTGGTGGTGATCTGACTTCTTGAACTACTGCAGTTCACCTTCTGTGGCTTGACCCATAATGCCATTAGGGAGGGAATTCCAGGACTTTGAGCCAATGACACTGAAGGAATGGCAGTATTTTTCCAAGTCCAGATGGGGAGTGCGTTGGAAGGAAACTTGATGGTGGAGGTGTTCCCATATTTGCTGCCCTTGTCCTTCCAGTTGGAAGTGGTTGTGCATTTGGAAGATGCCATCTGCGGATCTTTGGTGAATTTCTGCAGTGCCTCTTGTAGATACTGAGTGTCAGTGATGGAAGGAGTGGATGCTTGAGGATGTAGTGCCAATCAAGCGGGCTGCTTTGTTCTGGATTTTGTCAAGCTTCTTGAATGTTGTTGGAGCTGCATGCATCCAAGCAGGTGGGGGGGCATTGCATCACACTCCTGGCTTGGGCCTTGGAGATGATGGATTTGGAGCCGCATGGTGGCTCAGTGGTTAGCACTGCTGCCTCACAGCACCAGGGACCCAGGTTCGATTCCACCCTTGGGCAACTGTGTGGAGTTTGCATATTATCTCATGTCTGCTCCAGTTTCCTTCCATGAGAAATGCAGGGATAGGGTGGGGATGTTGGGTCTGGGTAGGGTGGGCTTTGGAGGGTCAGCATGCACTTGATGGGCTAAATGGCCTGCTTCCATTTGTAGGGATTCTACAACAGGCTTTGGAGGGGGGTCAGGGATTGAGTCACTTGCCACAGTATCCTTAGCCTGTCTTCCTCTTGTCAGGTTAGAGTCAGGTGAGTTATTCACCACGGAATTCCCAGTTTCTGACCAGTTCATTTGTGTATTACATTAATGGAGTGAATCTAATTAAGGTTCTGGTTAACGGTAACCCTAGCATGTTCATAACAATGGTAAATACCATTGAATGTCATAGGGAGACGGTCAGAATCTCCCTTGTTGAATATATTCATGCCAGCCAATGACTGTTATCCAGGCCTTGCTGCAGTATCCAAAGAGGCCTATGCCTCAAACCTTGACAATCATGGTTACTACAACTGACAAAGTTTCTCTAGCAATCCCTTCAACGGAAGGTACTGTTTGCAAGGCATGATGATTTGTGTTCCCTCAGGTGACTCAGCCAACCAATCCTGCAGCAACAGATTTTTGGGCAGTGAGGACAGAATTTCCAAGGAAAAGGTTTCTCATCCAAGGTTCTCATCCCTCTCCTTCCACTTTTGTCCTTTTTTGGTCAGTCTCCAACTATGTTCAGCTAGATGGATGAGACACACTACATGGACAATTTATGGCAAGTTCCTCCAAAACACTAATGTCAATGCGCCCCTTCTCAATAATGTCTTCTGAGAGCCCTTAAAGCATTTACTTCACGGAGATTGAATACCATCTTTAAGGCACGTCAAGCACAGGATCTCAACCAATTATACAGCATGCAGACGCAATATGCAGATCAGCAGAATTACAGTGCACGATCATGGTGGTGGAGAAAATGGCTCTGGCGAGGATGGTGGAATTCGGTCATTTGTGTTTTCACTTGACTTACACTATGATGCAGAAACATCATGTGGAAATGCTCCAATGCTCGGAGGTGCTTGGCAGGTGACTCAAGTCTTACTTCCAATATCAGAAAGTGACGGTTAAGAACAGGCTGAAGGCTTCTCCCTGTCTTTGGAGGTCTCTATAATCAAGAATTCAGCAACATAATTTTACACAGCTATGCTAGCCCAAATGATTCTGTGAACGTCCTCTTTGAGGGTGACCTTTTGAGAAAGGTAGCTGCCAAAAAAGAGAATGTGTCAAACAGCATCAAAGTCTCTCCATCACTAACAATAACTAGAGGTATAGGTGCTTGAGGTTTTCTGTACTTGCTGGTAGAGTTTAGCTCCTGCTGATTTTGTGAATCGTCTGAATTTCACCTGTAAGGAGGCCATAACTGCACAGTTACTATATTCTAAGTGGTGGATATATTGAAGGGTCACCTTAGATCTTAACCTATTGAGGTTGTAAAGCTTCAAAACTTACTCATGACCCACTGGAAAGAATTTCTTGAACAGGCTGCAGTATGTGAAGAAAGCTGATGCAATCACACAGCCTTGCTTGATGACAATCCAGATAACAAGGACTCAATCACCAAACCATTGCAAAGGATTGTTGCTGTTAAAGAGCAATGGAGAGGTCCAGACCCTTTTCTTGAATTTCAAAGATGATGTATGTAGCTCTCCTATATGACCAAAAGACACATTAGGTCACCTTGACGGATGCCTTCACTGATAAGTAGGAGGCAGTATAGGAGAATGTGAGAGAGAATCTTCCCCCAACGCACAGAACAGAAATGCTACTACAGCTTCCACAAATTGATTTATCAGCCTTCTAAAAGGCACATAAGTTGGGAAGTAGAACTTTTCCTTCCCTAAAGGCCAGCAGTAGAGGGAAGGTACTATTAAGCAAAAACCTTGAACAATGATACATCAGTAGGATTCTTCACTGCCCGTATTTCAAAATCTCTCACCTCGACAGCATTCCTCCAATCAATCTTAGCTGGTGAAGATAATCTTCTCATCAATCCTCAGAAATCCAGCAGTTTGGTCAAGAGATAAGGAAGAATCCTGGTGATGGTGTTGCAGTTCAAATGAAATGTCCTTGCTACTTGCCAGCACAAGCCTGAATGCAGTGAGCTAGCACAGGTTGCAGCATTACAACAGGGTTATTAGTGGAGACAGTCCCACATCTGAACAAATACCAAGGGGATAGCAGCTCATAGACAGTAAAAATGCTTGTTCGAGGAAAATCTCAATTTAAGCAGACTTTGACTATTATTGTTACACATTTTTTGATAATAGCTCTACACACAGTAAACAAACCTGGAAGTAAAGCAAGAAAGTTCCACAAACATTTATTTGAAAGTTATAAATACGTATATACACAAACACCTTCAAAAGAAGGTAAGAAACAGAAGCAAGAGGAGGCCATTTGGCCCATAAGGCCCACACTGTCGTTTAATAAGATCATGGCTGATCTAATTGTGGCCTTTTCTGTCTGAGCCCATAAGCACTGTAGATTAAAATTAGTCTAACTTAGTCTCAAACATATTCATAATCTTTGTAATTCTCCCACCCCCACACAGAAATGATCCTGAGAGAACAAATTCCTTCTCATCTCCATCTTAACTAGGAGGCACCTTATTTTGAAACTGTGCTCCCTAGTTCTAGATATCCTCAAGGAGGAACATTCTCTCTGCATCTAACTTTTCTATTCTTCCTAACAAGCTGAACATTTGCCAAACTTCTGTCCACTCATTCATCTACTAATATGCTTATTTTGGATCAACTGCAAATTTGGCTACAATGCCCAAGTCCTTCATACGAGTCATAGAATCAATATAAATTTAACTAAGATTCCAGCACTCATTTCTGTGAAACACCCCGTTAGTTATTCTTGACAAACCAGAAAATGACCAAGTTAACCTGAATCTATTTCGGGTAAGTTTGACAAACCTCTAATCCATACTAGTGTACCAATCCCAATACCATGTGCCACCTTATCAAATGTCTTTTGGAAATCCAAGTACACTACATACTGGTGCTGCTGTTTCTACCCTTGCCAGATTTCAAAGCACTCAAACAACTTTTCAAAGATGATTTCTCTTTCACAAAACCATGCCAACTCTGCTCTATTGTGTTACAGCTTCCTAAATGTACTGGTACTACTTCCTTACTATGTATGACAGCAATTTCCCCAATTACAGATGCTAGGATAACTGGCCCAGTTTCCTGCTCTGTCTCCCTCATATGTTTAACAGAGGTATTAGTGTGATTTTCCATGTCACTGGGACCTTTCCAGAATCTAGGAGAGTTTCAAAGATTACAAACAATGCATCTACTATTTCTGCAGCCATTTCTTTTAAAGGCCTAGGATGCAACCTATCAAATCCAGGAGACCTGTCAGCTGTTAGTTTTCCTTGTCCTTTTTTCTCCGACAATTTATGATTGTTTGAGGTTTTCTTTGGCCCATCAACTTCTCTTATAATTACTGGGATTTTTTTTACTTCTAACACGGAGACTGAACAAGTATTTTGTCTAAGGCTTTGTCATTTCCTTGTTTCTCATTATCAATTCCTCTGCCTCATCCTCTAAGACATCAATGTTCACTTTAGCTACTCTTTTCCTTCTTGCAGAGGTTCTTATATTTTTTGCTCGTTTGCTCTCATTTCTTTTTAAGTAATTGTTTGTCAGTTTCCAACATTTTCCTAACCTTCTAGTTCAACATCTATTTTCACTGTTTTACTCAAACCCTTGTGACAGCAGTGTAACTATATCCGCTCCTTTGCCAACAATTCCATCCTTTGCTCAACATATTTCACAAACAAATGGCATCATCTATAAAAGCATTATACATTATATACGTAAAGATAAACCTCTGAAAAGCAAAAGACTTGTGCACAGCGCAATATCCTATAAGTATTGCACTGTCACATTTTGCCCATTACATTTAATTAATAACAACTCTAATGCTAGAGTGTGCGAGATTAAAAGTTATTTCAGAAAAATTAAGTCAGTTTTCCCAAACACAATTTTTCAGTTTAACTACAGGCAAAATTGGAGAGCGAATAGATGATATAAAAAAAAACTGGTCTTTATCCCCGGTGTACTGAAAAATGCAAATCTCAAAGTAGCACACACAAAACAAAAACACCATCTTACCTAAATTTCCAGGGCATTTTCAGTGTTCATTTTCATGCATGTACAGATGCCATGCCACAAATGCCTGGAAATCATCTGCCATAATGTAGAAAAGGCTGATCTTTAGCATCTAATAAATATTTTCACTCACTTGGGTCGCTTTTTAATCTGTGACTGAACAGGTGTTTTCTTCTCTTCAGGAGTTTTAGGAGATGGTAAATCAGATCCTGGAAGTTCAGGTGGCAATGGAAGGTCTGTTAGTAAGTGCCGGGTCTTCCGTTCAGGATCCTTCTTTATAATCTTTGTTATAAAGCCATCCTTTGGACTGCAATTAGAAAACACAGGCTCAAGGGAACAGAATCAAATGTCACTATAATTCTTCCCCATTCTAATGAAACATGAGAAAATCAAAGTCAAACAAAGCTTTTCAGAACCAGATAGGGTCATTCAAAAACATCTTTCCCTTTGACTTTAGTGTATCACTTATAGCGCCTGTTTGGTACTGCTGCAGTCATAAATTCAACAGTCTTGTCGGGCATTCACTAAACATGGACTTTGCTGTTTTCCCCCAGATCTATGTGCCAAATTAAAGACCACCTCAATCAAAAAAAACAAATTGACAAACTGCTGCTTATAGGGCAGATAATTGCACAATACATATTAATATAGTCTAGAGTAAGTCAATTGTTTAAGTAGCTCTATAACTGGCAATCTAAAAGTGCAACAGTTCCAACTCTAACCCACTTTAGATTGGCATGGACTGAAGGCAGATTAACAGATAAAATGGAATAGGAATAAACAGGTCACTTGAGTTCACAGGCTGTAAATAGTAATCAGATATTCACAAACAAATCAGTTAATTTGATGAGGAGCTTTAGCGGTCTGCATCCAAGTTTGCTAACAAAACAAACTTAAGTTGGAATGCAAGCTGTTGTTTCTGGTTGAAAAGTCCAGAACTGAAGATCACAACCTCAGAGTAAAAGGTCTGCTATTGTGAGGAGAATTTTCATCACAAATGATAATAAAGGTTGGAATTCATCATCACAAAAAAAAATTAATGCCCTTGATGACTGAGCATGCAAGACAGAGTCATAGAGTTATACAGCCTGGAAACAGACTCTTTGGTCCAACTCATCCATGCCGACCACATATCCTACACTGATCTAGTGCCATTTGCCAGCATTTGGCCCAAATCCCTCTAAACCCTTCCCGTTCATGTATACACCCAGTTGTCTTTTGTTGTATTGTTCTTTATCCCATTCCCCTCAATCCGTGTCCCTCTCTGGTTCTTTATTCAATTCCCCTCAATCTCATGTCCCCCACTGGGCACCCACCCTATTGCCACTGGGAAGATCTACTTCCTCATTGACTTGACTGAAACTACCAGTCCTCGTGATTCTAGGCACTTCAATTCAATCTCACCCACCTCCAATCTTCATCACTCCCAGGAGAACGTTCCCAGCTTCCCCAGTCACTCCTTACAAACTGAAGACTGGAATCACAAAGAGGGAGGGTGCCCCTGTACAAAGGGTGACTTCACTCAAACATGCCACTTTCTCAAAATTTGCTCCCCTCCCATCTCAAAGGGGGCATATTTCCCACAAGACATGCCAAACCGAGGGCAAATGGCAACTGTGACTGAACAACTAATGTGGGCAAACTGCCCCTTCCTCACACTAGTCTTGCGTCTCTTCTCTGAACTGCTTTGAACACATTCACTTCCTTCCTTAAATAAAGAAGCCAATAACACACAATACTCAAGATGCCATCTCAAGACAATCTGGGGTATGTCTGACACACCAGAGAGCAATATTACCATACACAACTGACTGTCATGCTTCCCAAGCTCCAACAGTGTCATCACTTCAAAACAGATTTGATGCCTGCTTCATGCTCCCAGGTGTACTAGACAGATCAGCAGAATTTTAGATACAAGACAATCAGGGGTACAGAGAAAGTGCAGGAAGATGCAGCTGAGGTAGAAGGTCAGCCACGTCATACTGAAGGGCTGGTTCAATGGACCGATTCACCCAGGCGCCAGGTTCTGAAATCCCCTCATTTTCCTCTGTTAAGACAAAACATAAGCCTAACACCTTTGAACAAATGTTGTTAGCCCGCCCAAAATCTCCTTTGGTTGGGAATTTATTTTCAGATTATATTCTATAGCACTGCGGAACATTTAGCTTGAAGTAGCAACGTAAAAGCACGTTCTTGTTTGTTTTCTTTTGAGGGTTGTTACTCTATCAAAATCCAGGCAAACAGCCTAGCAAACCCTGGGTATTTTCAAGAAATTATAAACTGATAAGTTTGAGATGATTAAAAATATTTGCACTCAATATACCATTAAGTGTGCTATCAACTTCAAGTGAAATAAAAATTGCTGGTGCAACAATCCCATTTCTTAATATGGCACAAGAAGGCCAATGTATTCATTGTTAAACTTTTTAAGGTTTGCAAATTGGAAAGTAACAGTTAGTATGTGTCAGTTATTTTCATATTCTGTTTGCAGTTAATGCTGCTCCGAGTATACTACAGTTCTGCCACAGGCAAAATCGTTAAGACGGCTTGCCTCAAGCAGCAAATATACTATTGCATACAGAAGTACATTTTAACCTACCCACCCAAATTTTGATGTAACAATCTATGCAAGACTGTGTTTTTTTTAAAATCTATCATGGACTGGTCTAAAATTCTAAACGGCTAACTGGTTTGCAATTGCAAGACAGAACAGCAAAATTAAAAATTCTCTTTGGTCTCAGATAAGTCGAGGTATCACAATCTGTCCTGCACTGGTCTTCAGCGCTCCCATCAATTGGGTAGTTGAATAAAAGGATTATTGCTTACTGCTTTGACGAGATGTCCTTCAATAGCCCCTGCCCTGTTAGCAATTCCAGGGCCAAGCATAATCAGGTAGGAAAACTTAAATGGTAGTAAATTTCCTTTCATACACAATCAATGTTGTTTCACTCACAGCAGACAGCCTATGTCTTTAATTAATCTTATGAGATGCTACAATTCTTGCTAGTGACAATATAGGACACTTAAAGTATGCTGCTTTCATTGCTTACCCATCATCTATCTTTTGGTTGAAAAATAACTTATGATAAAACTTGGAGGACATAGTGTTTGTTCTCCAAAAAAGTAGTTTGCTTGCTTTCATGCTATTGTGAGCAAGAACTCCAGCAGAGACACAAAGCAATCAAAGTTTTAATCAAAACAAGAAAATATGAATCCTCAATTCATTTAGGAAGGTTTGTATTTCCTACTTTTCTTTCGCCAGGCTCTATTTTCTTAAAATCAACAGCCTCGATTTTATGCTTCAAATTACTCTCCACTCATATTACATAACACTAAACTTCACATCTATGGAAATGAAACCTGAATTTCAAGTCAATCATATTACTTACCACTTGTTTATCTCAAAATTTAGCTCCTGCGGCACTTCATTTCTGGTTTTCATCCAGGTTTTTGGATTTATTTAGCTTTTAATACAAACTCCACCAATGCAGAAAAATAAAACAAGAAATCTGGCTATGATTTCATTTATCCACAGCCCACCACTCAGATCAGTACCCACTCAAGCCATTATCATGGATGTCTACAGCACAGGAAAAGACCCTTAGGCCTAGCAACTCTGTGCCAAAAACAAGCACCCAACTATGCAAAGATAACAAACTGCAGATGCTGGAGTCAGAGATAACACAGCGTGGAGCTGGAGGAACACGGCAGCCCAGACAGCATCAGAGGAGCAGGAAAGTAGCCCATAGCCTTGTAAGTCTTGGCATCACAAGTATGCTATTATATTGAAAACCTGAGCAGGCTCATATGTTCTTACATCAGTTCACATTTGCAGAGTACAGTACACGCGCACATACCACTTTTTGCCATCAGCAGCTTCTAGTTTCTAAATTGGCACTTTTGATCGTCTCTTGTCATTTAGAATATTTGATTAAAATTGTAAGCAAACAATATTATGGGTCAAATCTGTGAAGGTATTTCACAAAGCAATACCATGGCTAGAGAGATCATCCTTCTGTTACAAATAATTTTATAAGGAATATTCCCAACACCCTCTGCAAGATAAGGTACACTGATCCAGAGGTTGTATCAGTAACAAAATGACAGAAACTACTGCTGAGTTCAAAGAATGCCTTGGTGAAAAAAAAATCAAGCCATCTCCATGACAACCACTTTAACTCATTCAACCCTCCACCAGGTACATCATTTAATGGGAATACCATGAAGATGCAGGAAGGCCACCAAGAATCCAACTGCATTAAGGAATTCACACAGACAGCCAAGCAGGAAAGGAACAGCATAAACATGAAAATCACTTAAAACATTTTACAGAGCAAGATAAAAATTGATTGCAATGTACACAAGGATGAAGGTAGAAGCTGGAATATAATGAAAACTAACATATGGATCAAAAGTACTTTAAAACTTCAGTACTTAATCATTATGGAGGCATTTAACATCATGTACAAACATAACATTTTAAGGCAGACATGTTTATCTATAGTCATTAAACTGCTGTTAAAAAGTTCAAATGAACAAGCTGTAACTTTTTGTGGGACTATGTTCAGTGAGAACAGAGAAGAAAAGGCAAAGCTCTTGACACCAACTGACTGTACAGCCACCCACCCCCAAGTCAGTATCAAGGCATGGAAGACTTGTGTTAATCTTCCTGTGTGCTAAATCCTCAAGTTGCACTCTGTTGCCACAAAATGACTTGACTAAATCCTCTCAACTACACCTCCAAGAACACACATCAGCTACCTGTGAAGATCCAATGGTATGTTTTTAAAAGTACAACAGAAACCATGGTCACAGTTGACATTACAGTTCTGTTTAGCAGACTTTCAAATCTAGCAAAGAACAAGATATTCCTCTAGACCTCCACGTTGATACAGCTGACTCAAGAATTTGAAGATGACTTCATAATCAATCTCATTTATTTTGGTCATAGCCAAGCAGAACTGATTCAGCAAGGTACATCTGATAATGCTCAGTGGCAACAGCTCAAGGAAGTTAACAGCAGACTGCCCAAATATTCCCCCACAAGTCCCGATCAAGCAGATTCATTCTGGTCAGAGGTGAACTAGCATTGTCTAGGAATGTAATTTTCAAAGACAAACAAATGATTATTTCACAAGGTCTACGTTAAGATATGATTGAACATATTCATACAGGGCAAACAGAAACAGGGAAGAAAACATTTGTCACATGGTTTTACCTATAGACTCAGCATTAACATGGATATACATCAATTGATCAATAGGCCTAAGCTTATTTCCCCAATTAATAAGATCATGACTGATCTGT